GGACCTGACAAAAAAATGCAAGAATGAGTGGAAAGAGATGTTGCTGAGGAGGTTCCATTCATCTGGGAAACGTCGGCTACAGCTTTATTAGGCCCACCCTGAGTACATCGTGTAAGTATAAACAATCATATCACGATGTAGACTAAGCCGTTGTTTTCAAGCTTTAATGTGAACAAAATATTGGGTATTTTTCAGTGTGTTCTTTTCACTGTATGTTTGCCAATATATTTGTTATTTGTTATTTGTTTAATTCCACTTCTTTACGCCAAGAGACACACCTCTGCTTTAAAGTAGTTTGTGCAAACTGATGTTTAACATGTAATTTCCTCCTGATGCTCATCTTCTGAAATTAAAATACATTTGCATATTATATTTGTATATTTTCTGGCAGTATTCTGTTTTTTGCTGCATAACTAAAGCCGTCTGATATTCTATTACATCTTTAAATGTTAACAGCCTTGACTCAATACATTGTTTTTTCTTAGTACATTATGCAGCATTCTCACAGCTTTTTTCTGTAATGTAATTAAATGTTTTAAATTACTCATAGGTAATCCATCCATGGTGCTGAAGTAGCGTTATTTTTGTGCCTCTATCCTGAGCACATGTGTACATTTCCTATGCTCAAAAGGTTTCATTGCGTGCACAAACATAACGCCTAAATCTGTCTGCAACTATATAGGCTATGCACATATGTTACGTTAAAATGGGGTGGGGCCTGGTGGTCGTGGGGTGGGCCCGCCCTGATAAATGAAATGCCCGCCCACAGATGTATGTCTGCCGCCGGGTCTGACATGGCCCAACCAGTGGAGAAATACCCGGAAATGCCAAGCAAATGCTCTACCCCGACGGTCGGTTGTTATTGTCAATATTAATATAATAATTATTTATTTTTTAATAGTCACACTCAATTTCGCCGATTTTCTTGTTGCCCCAGCTGGTCGACACCTCTTTTAGCAGAAACAACGGCTACATTAATGTATTAAATTGATGTTAATCCATGTGTTTGTTTGGGGAATTAACGGACGTGACGTTGTGCGATTGCGTTGCCAGGCAACAGGTTCATGTTAATTGACAAACTCTTCAACTAGAACCGTAGTTATATTTAAAAACATTTTAGAAGGCCTCACAAAATACTTTAATATACATTTCAATGTGAAGGAATGTGTGTACAACAAAATACACCCGTCATAAGCAATACCGGAAACAGACGTAGGCAAGATCCTCAGCTCGCTGATTGGATGGTTTAGCCGCAATGCACGCTGGGAAATGGGGTTTATTCGATGTGAAATCCGAAAATAAAATAATACTTTATTCCGAATGTGCTTACTTTTCTATTCATCTTACGTCATCACATAATACACGGTTCGGCTGCATTAAAGCTGTCTTTGGCTCTTGTTTTCTGTAACAATGTAAATGTTTCCCCTGTGGGGACAGTGGGACTAATAAAGGTATTCTGATTCTGATCGCAAAAACCAAGCCAATACTATGCTGCGTTCATTGAGCTATGTGGAAGTGGGGAATGACAACGCTTAATTGCGGATACATAATTTCACATTCTAGCAGTTTATTGCTCTTATACCTTGATTGTTGCCAACTACGATGCTCAACAGCTCGCTTAACGGAACGCTGACAGTTTTGTTTACCACCAATCACGGGAGTATTGTATAGAAAGTGTTGAATTATATTTCTCGCGCTACCTAACATCCATGAAGGCAACATGACAGAGGGAGGCCTGTCTCTCAGGATGCCAAACTACTCTTTGGTAAGCCCCGTCCCCCAACGTTTGAAAGTAAACAAATATATATCTGAACGTGAAAAAATATCTGAAGGCGAAAAAAATTGTGAAACCTGAAAAAACAAGATTTGAAACCTGAACAAATTATTGTTTTGAATCTGAAAAGGTAAAATCTGCAACTGAAAAAAATAAGGATTAAAAATATCAAAATATGTATAATAGTGAAATGTGAAAATAAATATTTTATTCAAAAAAATTGCTGAACAAAAAATAATATTCAACCTGAACAATTATTTCAAATACTTATTTTTATTTTGAATACATCATTGTGTTCAGGATAGAAACGTGAACTTTCAAATTAATTGTATTTTTTTGAATGATCAAAACGTATGACCCTATAGCTCCATAGTTAGCAAGTTATACATATCAAATTGGTAAGGTGATATTTTATCAGGGCACTGTTTATTACTTTTGCTGTCCTTAAGTAACCAAATAAATCAATGGATGCATGCTGCATTTTATCACAAGAATGAGATACATAACAGGGGTCTTCAGTAACAAAAAGAGTGCGACTGTCCTCCTCACACATTAATCAAGAATGTGTTTGGTTTGAACACACAGCAAGAACATACTGCAGTTGTGATTGTGAATTAAAATTATCCCAGCAGCAATGAATGATCAAATCATCAAAGTGAAAACCACATTTTGACCACACATATAAATAAATATGAGTAACTTATCACGTTGTGTTCAGCCTTTGAACTGTCAATCAGTTTTGAAGATGTTTGCCTCGTCCTGTCATTTTGAACTGAGCCAAGGACGGGCGAAAGATGAGGAACAAGGTTTTTTCTTATTCCACATTATCATAGTTATACAAATTGCATTGCCCATTTACTGTTGAAATGAGTTCCTGACATCAGAAACAAGTGTTTTTCTGGTACATGTAATTGACCGTGTAGCTCTGTCAGCTATTTTTAGCCCCCCTGTTGCTCTGACAAGTATCCCCATAGACTCTCATCCAGCAGTGCTCCACTGACCTTGCTCAGCTCCATAGTGTGACAATACCTACCGACAATTGTCTATAGTGACAAAAATGAGGGACATCGGACTAAAACACACCTCATCATCTTAAATGAAGCCCCAGCTGTAGCCAGGATTATGAAGATATATCTTTTTGAAGCAGTTACTTGCAATTATCAATGTATGTCTTTCAGACATTAGTCCCACAGAGACAATCAATTTGAGCTTTTTGTCATGTTTTATCAAGCTGCTTTAATACTAAGTAATATCTCATGTTACTCCTCTTTGGATTGCAGTCTCAAACCAAAAAAGGCAAACATATATTACTGAGTTTTCTTTATTCAAACAGCAGTTTGGTGGTACTGTAGATTGCCCCAAATCATAACCATGCTAAACAATGTAGCTTTGCACCTGATCCTACTGGTGATTTAAAAAGGGATAATTTCAGTAAATTATAAGCATGTTTATTCCTTTTGTATCCTTTTATTTTGTTTGTATTCATTTCAGCCGTTCTGAGAATGAACACCTTATTTGCGTCATTGTGGTCATAAAAACATTAACAATGCTTTGTCATTGCTTTGTTCTTGTGCCTTCATATTACACATTAACTCCAGCAGGAGGGAGGTGTTCAAATGTTCACTTATCAGACACCTCTGCATGTGGCTAACTGCTCCGTGTGCCAAGCATTTGTCACCTTGAAAAACTGGCATCCAGTGGTGTGTGTGCTGATACATTCAGATTTTTTTAAGATAACAATCAATGTATTGTTTTAACATCAAAGTGCCTAAAACCACCACCTACAGCATTATCAACGCTCACAAGTTCTGGTTCTGAATTATGATTATATTACAATTAAAATACAACCACAGATGAGAAATTATCTGAGGATGAGTCTGTGTTTGAATGATATGTTATTTTTTTATGAAGGATTTGTGTTGTATATGAAATAGTGACAGGTTCTTCTTTCAGTTTCAAGTGAACAATAATGCCTCTAGTAGGCATAAAAGGCATGTTTCTGTTGCGTTGTTTTTTGACATCACACTTAAAATAAAAAGGTTGGAACACTGTCACAACTGAATCAGGGAATCTCAACTCAACATACTACGGACTATAAATCACAGTAAACCTCTTTTATCTTACCAAAGAGTAGATGGCAGATATCACATAATGATCTATGGCCCATTGAGCTTTTCTGTACTGAACAACATATTAAAACCATTAAAAGTTTGTAATAATTGTATTCTATTTTATGGGGGCAAAGACCATTTCAGTTGTAGGTAATACATTGGATATTTGTACTATATTGTGTTCACTGCTGTTAAAAATAGCTATTATGTGAGAACAAATACAATATCAGAATAATATAGCATTTTTTAAACTCTTGAATGGCAGTCTACTGTCTCTTAATTTAAGATGGATACAATATAAAAACATTATTTTGACAGAATTGTCAAAACATATGTGCAAACAAATTATAAAACTCACTTTGTTCAAAAAGAGAACACTTGAAAAGAGTTGAAATGTACATCATCTTTAATGTATTCTTTGAAATAGGTAATCATGAACCTTGTTTCAGCCTAAGTAAGGTTACCGGTTACCTAACCGCAGAAGATTATAAATCAATTTGTCTTGGCTTCGTTATTATTTAAGAAAGCAGACATGTTGTTTGGCAGATTATACCGTAAAAACAAGATAGTGACATACACTACAGATTTTAGAATCATAATAAAAAAAGTTTATTTTTGCTATGATGCCAACACTCAATAGGCGCGTTCACACCGCAGTACTTTTCCCACTTTAGTTCCGATATAGTTCCGAAATGTTGCGTTCACACCAAAAAAATCCAGAACTAAAATTAGTTCATCAGAACATTTTTACCCCCTTTTCCGTCCCTGCTAGAGAGCAGGTACTTTCGTGGGAGAAAAAGGTGCCTATGTCTGATTGGCTGGGCGGATTGCTTATGGCAACACAAAAGAAAACATGGGAGCGGTGGAGATGAGGAAGTGTCGGCGTTCTGGCGATTTACTCGGAAGGCTTCAGTAGAAGCTGCTGGGAGTCCCAGTAGCTTCTACTGAAGCCAGTCCCCAACTCCGGGGACTTCCGGCCGGGGACTTTGGGCGGCAGTATACGCCGTGAAGTGGTTTGCGGCCTGCCAGTAAACTCAAAGCAGAAGAAGAAGAAGTGACGTCAGCGGCTTCATTTGCCTAATCCACCCCCAGGAATTTATTCTGGTGTAAACGCGATCTGTACTTAGTTCATGCGAACTAAAGAGTTCTCATGAACTAAGTTCTGATGAACCTTTGTGGGAAAAGTACTGCGGTGTGAATGCGCCTATTATCAGCATACCATCCCTACCAATAAAAACATGATTTGTTCCCTCTTCACTTGTAGACTACATGATAAAAGATACATTATTGCATTATACATAATAATGTAAAAAGGCCCCAATTGCATGTGAGCAGCTTTAAATAAACTATAAAAAATCCTTTAGGCCTCAAGTCAAACATTAAAAAACCACAAACTATTAAACCCAACCACAATTTGAATCCATCAAGAAGGAAGCTTACATTACTTCATATTCTCACGTCATATGTATAAAAGTAAAATATTTCACAGGCTACTTAAAATGGTTAAACTCCCAGGTTGCCTTTCTCCTCTGGCAGCAGTTTTTCCTTCGCTGAGTCGGGAGGGACTCTTTGTGGAGTCTTCTTCATTTCTAGACTTTTGACCCAAGTGTAGGCTGAAGAGCCCACAAGAACCATCAAGTTGCTGGTCCACCACAGCAGGCTTTTACTGGAGGAGTTGTACACCACTGCAATGACAGTCTGAGCACAGGCCTTTGCTGTACCTGAGACATTGTGTGTGAGTGGACTGGTAAACTTGATCTGGAGGCCTGTGACGTAGCCGATAGCGAAACCAAACACTCCTCCGAGCGTCATCATGCCCCAAAACTTGAGGTCAGAAGAGTGGCTGAAGCTGGCCAGACTGCCCAACTCTCCGAACAACAGAATGAGCGGCAGGAAGAGGACGCAGGCGTTAATGTTGTTGTAGTAGGACAGTTTCCAGATGTTTCCTTCTACTGCTGGCATCACCTTTTTGGTGAAGATGGCGTTCAGAGAGACACATGCGCTGGCCAACACCCCGAAAAAGACGCCTGTCCAGGAGAGGTTCCCCGTCATGCCTTCCTGGTCCACACCAAGCCAGAATCCACCTGAGAAGCATGGACACAAGCAGGACTGTGAGAACACCATACACACAGACCTGTCGCGATAATCAATCAATTGACTTACCGTACGATAAATAAAAATGGACTCAATAACTTTTCTGAGCTCGATAAATTGCAGTTTACATGCGTGTTTGTTTACATAAGGATGTGACCAGCATTTTAGCCAGGCGCGCTGTGAGGGGCGGGGCTCACACACAGCCCATGACACAGCCAGGTCAGGACACTCCGCGTGCAGCAGTGTAGCAGCCAAATTAATAATATAGAGACAAGCAGGAGATAACGGGTGACTTACTCGAGGGGATTTTGAAGTTAAATGGAAGTGGTTGCAAAACCTAATACCACATCTCCGGTGTGGGAATATTTTGGATTTAAGCCAAATCAACGAGGCGAACCTACAGACTTGAATGGGCCGGGCAGTGTGTCACATTTGTTTAAAAAAGGTAGCAACTAAAGCTAGCAATACGACCAACCTTAAACTGCACTTGAAACACAACCTACCCATTCCGTTTTCCCAGCTGGGAGCAAACACGGCAGCTGGAGATGGAGAGCCCCCCACCTTCCTGACAGTTTGCAATCAAAGATGCATTTGCCCGACAATGCAAACATCTTGGTGTTCCTTGCTCGAAATCTTTGAAATACAGATTTGGATATGGCCTGTTGAGGCATCTGGGTCTTTATATGGACAGTGGACTCTACACTTGACTGTTGTTTTAAGGAGGGGTTTTTGTGTGTGCTCATATATATGCATATACATATATATATATATATATATTCATATACATATATATTCATATACATATATATATTCATATATATATATTCATATATATATATATTCATATACATATTCATATACATTCATATACATATTCATATATATATATATATATATATTCATATACATATATATATTCATATACACACATATATATATATATATATATATGAGAGAGAGAGAGCTCTGTTTTCCAGCCTGAGTCTATTTAATTGATTTTTTTGGTTGTGTGTGATTTTAATTAATGTGTTATAATTACATGTATTTGTTTTATTTATTATATATAATTTATATATTTGAATATGATTTCACATTTCATTTGCAATGTTGAATGTTCAATAAAAAGTTCTGTTTGAAAGGATGTACTTGAATTATTATTATATATTATCATTATGTCAGTGGTCTAAAATGGTCTTACAACGGTGCCGACAATATTATCGTTTATCGCAATAATTTACGGGGAAATGTATCGTCCAACAAAATTAATTATCATGACAGGCCTACATACACATAAAGCATTTTAACACTTGAACAGTCAAGTTGCTGAGTTTAAATCAGAAATATGCCAACATCTTTCATTCTAGTATTTTTTCAAGTCATACAAGTAATTAAATAGTATATCCAGATTTTTAATTAATATAGGTTTTGAATAGGGTTGTATCGAGTATCGAGTATTTCAAAGAGTAAGTATACAACTCTATCCACTTGTTCATTGTTTGGGCCCCATTTAAGTTTATAACAATACTTTGCTTAAAACTTTGTTGCAAAAGCTAAAAGTAGTAAAACAATGAGAGCAACTGTTTTCTGGGGTTGGTGTAGAAAAACTTGACTGGCTTGAGGATAATGCAGAAGATAGATTTCTGACACATCTACTAAGAAACTGTTTTATTTTTAGTTATTCAGCACATGTCAATAATAGTTTCCAAATTAGTCACCTTACTATTCATCTAGTATAGAGATACAACCCTGCGATATCATCCACACACCCTACGGGGGAAAAAACCGTTAACATACCTAGTATGACCCCGCAACACATTATGGCTTGAAGTGATGTGGTTTGTTTCAGGATGATGTACGACAACAGCACGTTAAACACTGTGCTGAGAGAACGACCGACCGTGTAGAAAGCCACTCCGACATGTTTCAGGCACAGGTTGTTGAAGGTGATCATGCCGATGAACACAATGGACAGTGGAAGGACCTCCCGGGACGTCTTCAAGTCAAATTTGACCGACGGGAAGTCGATGAGACCCGGGCACACTTTGGACAGCAGCTGCATGAGCCAGCACAGTCCCACAGTCACCAAACATTGGTAAAACGTGACAAACAATGGTGCGTCCAATTCTCGGTTGTCCAGCAGATAACTATTGAGAAACACCATTGTTATGGAGACAAACCAGTACAGTGCCACCACAGCTCCTATCCGGACAGCCCGGAGTATGAACGTCTCTCCATCGCCATCCGGGTTCATCGTTTCCGAGCCGGCTAGAGCCATCCTCAGGATACTGGACCGCTTCAGCTGAGTCCTGTTGTTCATGGTTAAAAATAGAGACACTGTGTAAAAACTGCAGCATTTACATAAGCTTATATGTAGCTACATGGTACAAACATGACGACTGTGTTCGGCTAACAGCAATAACAAAACGACTTCCGATTTAGATTTTCAGAATAAAAGCTCATCTACACAAATCCTAGCTCGAGCCAAACCAAATTATTCTTGGGTATGAGATATGTAATTCCAGTTAAAAATGACCATACGAAGTGAGACCAACTGTACAGCTTTTGAACAAAAATATATACAAAACCCCTGTCGTGCCTTTTCATGCACAGAAAAATTATGCATTCAAAACCATTCATACAATTTGCATTTAGACACCATGCAACTTGTATTTGTTATCGTGTTATATCACTGGGACAGTTCAGAAGTAGCATGGCAAATATGTTTTGACATGGCCCAGATCAGAATGCGTACCTTGTGTGTTGGCCCATCCATTTGTCTAATCTTTAAATCTTAAAATGCTTTGACTGAACTGTTTTTATCTTGAAAATAGATGCAAAGCCGGAAGTGTTTCCAAGCAGGACTTCCTCGTTTGAACTAACACATTTAAAGAGATAGTCATGGAAAGTGTCTTTGACTACATATTCCTAGTAGTGGCGTAGTTTAGTGTCCATATTGTTCTCGCTTTATTAATAAAAAGTGTTTATGAGCTGCTCTTGCTAATCAAAATAGTAATAATATTACATATGTTGTACGGTGCACTACGTTGCAAGTGTAACTCTATCGGTTGCATTTACCCTTTTATATCTAGAAGATATGTGTTTAGTTTTAAATATTACCTGACAAACATTGCTTTTTCTTGATTAGGCTATGTAGGCTATGTTTAATGTTTAAAAAAAAAAGGTTTTCATACCTTCAGTTGATGCTATAAATCCAGTATGCAGTGTCTATCAGGAAGTGTTCTGCCCTTTTAACGAGCTGTCCTTCCCCTCCTGCTCCAAGGCAACAACACAGGCTGCTTTTATATGACATGCATTTCCTGGTATAGACTTCACCAGACAGACATAGGCGGCGCGTGAGGCTCAGGTTTGGGAAGGCGATAACTTGTTTTACCTGACGCGGCCTGCCTCCGGCATCTATAGAAAATAGATCAACTCAGTGAAAGCACCACCTGCTGACCAATCAGAGCTCAGTGTGCAGAGTTTAAATCTATCAAGTCATATTACAGGATAAAGGAAATACAGTTTAAACTGCCGTAGCCTATGCAGAGAAGACGCCGACGTGTCGCACTTATCATTCATATCACCTCATCAATCAATCAATCACATCATCGATCATATCATATAGGCCTATCATATATTTCCTTATCCGAGTCAGCTTCTTGAGCCGTATCTGGCCGTGCAACACTCACAGTGTCACATACTGTATGCAGAAGTATTATTTTAAGCAACACAGGTTGACAAAACACAGATGTAGCCTAATTAAAGTCAGATCCACTCGTGTCTTAGACGGGGCCAGGGTTGGGAGGGTTATTTTGTAAATGTAATCAGTTACTGAATACATGGCTCTGAAAGTAATCCGAATACAGTTACAGTTAGGCTACGTGTTTAAAAAAAGTAACGTAATCAGATTACTTTTAGATTACTTTCTTTTTTCATCACATATGGGTATGTTTTGGTGAACAGGAGACACAAAAAGCAAAAGGAAACTGAACGTGTTTTTACTGTTTTAATGGCGTATCAAGAGCAGTGGCGTTGCGCAATATTTCGGGGCTCCCCCGCAGGTCGGACCATGGGGCCCCGCCCCCTCCCCTAAATCAATAATAGAGTGACATGGGATAGACATCGCGGCCACTTTTTTAAATGTTTATTTTTTCAGGCATCTTTTGTAAACAGTAGGCCTATAGGTCAGTAGGAACTTTCTGTATAGATACATCTGATTTAAACAGTATAGGGTCAGTAGGAACTTTCTGTATAATATACATCTGATTTAAACAGTAAGGTCAGTAGGAACTGTATAATAATATACATCTGATTGAAACATAATTGACAAATACAAACAAGTGGCTGTGTATTTTTTGTAACATGAAGGTATATTGTAGAACGTTATAGCCTATCATCATTGGAGTTCACACAACGGAACGGTTCACATAACATTCTGTATAAAAGAAAAGTAGCCTACAAAAAACAAGCAAATAAAACACATCCTATATAGGCTACAAAGAGGATGCAATCAGGAGCTGCTTTGTAGGCCTATTATTTTATACGAGCACGTCTCCTGGCATTCTTCTGCGCAAAGTCCTGTATAACAGTCTTTAAATCTATACTGCGCGCGCGTCGGCTCTCAATACTAAGGACTGCTAACCCAGACAGTCTCTCTTGCGACATTGTGCTCCTCAAATATGTCTTTATTAATTTAAGTTTTGAGAAAGATCTCTCAGCACTGGCAACAGTCACGGGTATAGTTAAAAACAATTTCAGTGCTGTGGCAACATCGGGGATACTTGGCAAAATGGACTGATTTTCAATGAGCAGGGTTTGTGCAAGGTCTTTGATTGTTCCACGCTCAATTTTCTTTATAGTAGGCCTAAGAGCATTACGGAGGGACAGGATCTGGAAAGGAAACTCGGCTGACAGGTCGTCTTTATACTGGCCTGATAAAGCACTTGCGGACTCAGACAGATCCTTGTCTGTTGCGCGCAAAAGTTCGCGGGGAAGCAGAAAAGAAAATCGCTGTGTAACTTCACTCATTCCAACAAATCGATTTTTGAGTTGGGCAACGACAATATCGATATTTGCGTAAAATACCGCCACTCTAAAATGCTCCCCTGGGTCTTGGAGCCGCTGGTCCTCGCAAAGCTCTGAAAAGTGCCTCTTTGTGCGCCTTGCGCGTCTGTCTTTGAAGAGACTGTGGACACCCCATGAGGATGCCAGGTCTTGCGCGTGCGCTTTTAAGCCATCAAACTCTCCTCGGAGTTGGGCAAGTGTATCGGTTGCGTTACCAAGCATTGCTGTCGCCTGTAAGAGGTCCACGTCTTTGCGCTGGAGAGCTTGGGACACAATGTTGACTGTTTCAAGGACCTTGCCCTGTATTACAGTCATTACAACAAACTCAAAGCTCTCCATGGCCTTTTTCAAGCCAGTCGCCTCGGCACGTTCCTCGCTTTTTTTGGAGAGCAAGTCTATCTTAGTTAGCGCTTGCATAATGTCAGCATAACGGAACTGCAATGATTGGACGGCGTCTTGTCTTGATGCCCATCGTGTCGGGCATAGTCTCTTCAGTGTAGGCTGGCCAGCCTTGGGCACTGAGAGGTGTGTTTCCAAAAGCTCCCAACGTTTGATGCTTCCACTAAAGAATACATATAGCCTTTCAACAGTGTCGTAGAAGTCTTTTATCTCAGGTATATTTTGGCATGCGTCATTGAGTACAAGGTTTAAATTGTGCGCAGCACAATGAATGTACACTGCGTTGGGCTCTTTATCCCTTATGCGTTTTTGTACACCGGAGTAGACGCCACTCATATTGCTAGCCCCGTCATATCCTTGTCCGCGGCACTTCCCAAGTAGTATCCCCTTTCTCTCCATCGATTCGAGAATTTCTCTCTCTAGACCTGCAGCAGTTTGGTCTGTGACTGCATGGAAGCCCAAAAAACTTTCGTTTATTTTCACCTCTGTAGGGTTTCCATTTTCATCATTTGCTATAGTAACATATCTGAACACTTGACTCAGTTGGTCTACTTTTGAAATGTCCTGGGTAGTATCCATTATAATCGAATATAATTCTGCATTCTGTATGTCTGTAATGATTGTGTCCTGCACTTTTTTCGATAGCAATGAAATTATTTCGTTTTGAGTTTGAGGACTTAGGTAGTTCACCTTCTTTTTGCTTTCAATAAACCTTTGCAGAACTGGATCATAACGCGCCATAAGTTATATGGTAGATAAGAAATTACCATTATCTATATCACCTATTTTCTCTCTGTGACCCCGGAAAGCAGAGTTGCGAGAGGCCAGTGTTAGTGTAACATCAGTTATTCTGGTTAGGACCTCGGTCCAAAACCCCACCTCTCTCTTAAACTCAGATGATATTTGCGCGTCAATGGTCAGATTATTTTTCCACGTATCATACACGACACATGCTGCCAAATGAGAGCGAGAGAATTCGTGTTCCTTAATCTTTTTAGAGAGACCCTGCCAATCATTTATTCCTATTCTCCACGCTTGGTGGAGGTGATGGGCAGACGGTCTGTCACCGAACAGCCAGCACTGCTCACAGTACACCCGGTCCATAGATGGCGAGTAACATAGCCACTTTCGTGGAATTCTACATCCAATTTTGGATGTTTTGTTATAGAACTCTTTTGAAAAGCACCTTCCCTTCCCATCCCTTTTGAATGGCCCTTCAGGCTTGCATGGCCCGTTATTCAGAATGTACCGTTTAACATCATCGTCTTCTAAATCTACAGGGAATTTCCCCCTATCAGTAGGGTATTCAGTCACAGAGTTGTCGCTGGCCAACGTGTCCCTGGGGTGGGTGGGAGCTGCTGTCACTGTCGGGGCACGGCTAGCTGGCTGGGCAACCTTGGCTATGTCTGAACTGGCCTCGGAGGGGGCACAGCTGACTTCTTGCTGACCTGCAAAAAGGAACGGATTATATTGCAATTCCAATGTAACCTGTAGCATACTGACTCGTACTGTTTATGGCGATTGGCGAATAAAACTTTCTATTATTCTAACCTGTCTCGAAGCGTGAGGCACGACTAGCTGGCTCGGCTGTAACGGGGCTGCTGGGGTCTGTGGGGGCACGGCTAGCTGGCTGGGCAGCCTTGTCTATGCCTATGTCTGAACTGGCCTCGGAGGGGGCACAGCTGACTTCTTGCTGACCTGCAAAAATGAACGGATTAGATTCCAATTCCAATGTAACCTGTAGCATACTGGTTATGGCGAATAAAACTTTATATTATTCTAATGTCTACCTGTCTCGAAGCGCGAGGCACGACTAGCTGGCTCGGCTGTAACGGGGCTGCTGGGCTGTCTGCCTGGACTCGGAGCTGACGGCCGGGGGCCGGGGGGGGGTTGCTAGCGGTCTATCTGCAGTAACGTTAGAGTCTACGTCTACCTTTGCTGCCTGCCGGAACAATGACGTTATTTTAGGTAGTTTTGCCCTCTCCTGTTCGGCTTTCGCTCTCATTTTGCTTTTCTGAGCACCGCTTGGGTAGTGGCGCTTCATTTTTCATGTTTACCGGCAACGCAACTAATGAACGTTATTTATATGAGCAATGCTTCCCGCTTTGTTTTGAACACTGCCCAGCCTGCCAATGAACATTAGTTATCAGCCGGCTAGCCCTATCGCAGATGAACAAATAATTATAATGATACACTGTTGTACTACTACAGGCAGCGTACACATGACGTAGCAACATAGCAGGGAGGGGGGGGGCCCCGCCCTCTGCACCCTGTTCCCGCGTTACGAAATCTAAGAGGATAGCCTACAGTGGGGGCGGGGCCCCCTAAGCTCCGGGGCTCCCCCGCACCGCGGGGGGTGCGGGGGCCTCCGCTACGCCACTGATCAAGAGCACAACTGAAACATAACATCTGAAACGATGTAACAACATAATACACTTTCTGAGGATGCAGCTTGGGATGTGAGGAGTGAGGGACACGGTTTAGAACGGGCGTGTCGCCTTCTGTCCTGCCAGTGTTGGCAGGACATGAATTAAAATGTCGAACTCGGACTTCATTTTAAGGACATTTCGGCCAGGGGTGTAGAGCTATATTTGTTTAAGCACCGGATTGGCAAAACAGGAGACTCTGTGCACCAGTCTGCCTTGATCTATGAATTAATGTCCGTGACACTGCTGCCCACAGCTGTTTTATAGAAGGAAAACTTCCTTCACTTCATGACATCTCTGCAGCACCAGGGGGGTATACTACGAATCTAGTTCAACCTATCCTGGATATGTTTTGAGTTATCCGGTTGACTTTATCCAAAACAAAGCCGCTCTCGCTAAATTGTCCTACAACGCTGGCTATCAACTCGTTCGCTCAAGCCAGCCGTGTCCTATCTAGTTAGGTGCGCGTTCACATAAAAGGGGTGGTATCTGGAGCATTCGACCAATCACAAACATGGAGAAGCGTACTGACAGCGCAGTGTCATACTTCCTGAATGAAAAGTCAACTATAATATTAGACATATGAAGAAGTTAAACCTTAAACATCCATGACTTAAACACTTTATCCAGGATAAAAGCCACATAGCTGCACCTGCAAGGTGAATACAGCTGGTAAAAGAAAAAGTGTTTGAATGGCTACATTAACAGGTTTATGATATCACTAAGACACGAGTGGATCTGACTTTAATTACATTTGACTCGAGTGTTTCGTCAACTTAATGTGTTGCTTAAAATAATACTTATGCATAGAGTATGTGACACTGTGAGTGTTGCATGGCCAGATACGGCTCAGCTGACTCAGATAAGGAAATATATAATACATTATGATGTGATATGAATGATAATGGGACACATCGACGTCTGCACTCACAGTGCCGCTGACTGTAGGCTACGTAATGTTACTTTGATCCGGCTACTTAGCCTATGTTGTGGCAGATATTTAATTAAGCTTTCTTAACATAGCCTAATAGTATAATAGTTATAATAGTCAGATTGCTCTGAAGATGGGAGGTGATGTTCTATTCATTTTCACGTTCACACAGTCGGTGATTTTGGCCGGCCGTCTTTCCTGCAACGGCAGTGTAAACTGTATTTCCTCCACACACTGAGCTCTGATTGGTCAGCAGGCGTGGTGCTTTCGCTGAGTTGATCTCTTATCCTGGAACCTATCCTGCTTCGGAGCACAGACCAGGTTCCAGGACAGGCGCGCCGGATTCATTTTAGAAGTGGGGGGGGCCAAAAAAGTGCGTGTGTATGGCCCAATCCCAAACCACGCCCTACACCTACACACTCCCCCTCCGTGACGGAGTGAACTCCGTGTGACACATGAGGCTCCCTCCTGTCAGATGGAGGGAGTAAATACAGCAGCAAGCTTTGGGACGGCCTCCCCTCTCTCCGGCAGAAACAGGAAATGCCGTAACTGTATGTAACAACGGTTTCAAATCAGCATCTCTTTGACAAAAAATGTAAATTAATAACTCAAATAAAACTCCAAACATCTTTAATTGTGTTAGCCTACTTTTTTGTAAAGCTCTTTTAGTTTTAAACCTGATGTTTATAAGCTTCTTAGTTTGTGCAACAGTCTGTAAATATACACAACTTTATAATAAAATGCACACATTTAGCCTACCTTTTTCTAGACTAAACACAGGTGATCCTAAGTTAAAAAAATATGAGGTTATCATGAGGTTGTTAACATCGCAATTTATCAGTGGATGTTTGCTGGAAGCCTGGAACTACTTGTAAACAGCGTGTTTCTTGACAGACACACACAGCGTTGAGACCGGTCAGGTAGCCTATGGCTACAGGTAATGCAATTCATGACACTTATTTCAAGAAATTCAAGAAATGGACATAAATTATTTATTTAACCGAACCAAACAACACTTTTTGTGAAAAGAACGTAGGCCATAACAAGCTTGTTAATAACACAAGCTGTGATGTCGTGTAATTAAAATCACATGACTAAAATGTCCAATAACAGATGAGGGTGGAGCAACCTTCAAACAAATGTCCCACAATACATAGGGTAAAGCAAAACAAAAATCCCCACGTGACTAAATCTAGCCTACTTAATCTTTCTACATTTTGCCAAAGTAAACCTCCCTTCGCTCACTGGCAAAGCAGAAACTCCGGAGCACTTGTTTGAGGTCCAGGTCGTCGGTCAAATCTTTGTGGATGTGGAGGAAGAGAAGGTGATTTAAGCGGCGCTAGTTGAACGAAGGAAGGTCTTCAACCGACGGAGGCTGGAGAAGCTCCGCTCAGCTGTTGCATTGGACATCGGCACAGTCAAATACAGCCATAGAAGCTTGTCCACTTCACTGAAGAGGGATTGCGTGCCTCGTCCCTGTGCCGCCAGCATGTCCGCGATTGTGGCCACCCCTTAACAAATAAAGTAAACAACGTAACAAATAAACAAATCTAAGCTTTTTTATTGGTTGTAATTTACATGGATACATTTGAATGGTGTGACAATGTCCTATTTGATTGGGTTAAAATGTAGCCTACATATTCTTCCTGTTATGTCTGCCTGCTTTATTTTACCTTATGCAAAGTGACCTGCTCTATCGAAATCAGTCGCATTGACCCGAAGACACATTTTGAGTTGTATAGCCTACACTGTTGGAAAGAGGAGATTCCGAGCTTTCTGATTATATCAGGATTGTTTTTGTACTCCAAATATTAAGCAAAATAGGCTATGTCACATTAGCCTATTTTGCTAATGACTAGAGTCATCATTTTGAGAAAAAGCCCTTCAAAGTGTCCTCTTCTCTGGATCGATCTGATTGATTATTAGCGGAGCAAATGATCAAAATACTACGGAGGGAAGATATTTTCGTTTGGATTACTGGTCTGGGGGAAGCTCGCGAGTGTGTGTGTGTTTGTGTATTTTGTGTACACCGGCTGTTGTTATGCCTGCTGTGACGTTAAGTTACTCCGTTCTCCGCTTGTAATTATGCCGTTACAAGCTTCAAAGCTGTATTTATCATCTGAATTTGCCGAAACAAGTATAATATTCTGAAAGCCAAGACTTTGTTTATTTGAAATCAGATAAAAACAAACTGTAACGGACCCTGCCGTCTATGATTATATGCCTTACATTCATAACTTCAGTGGGAGGGAGGGGGAGCGGCGCTGAGGAACAGCAGAGTGGCGAGTGAGAGCTGTCATCTTCCCTTTACAAGCTTAAAAAATGCCTGTAGCTAATGAGATTGAATATAACAATACAAAATAACAAAATATAGCCTACACAGATCAGATGGCGTTCTTTTTAGATGCGACTTTAGAGTAGAGGGGAATTATTGAAACGGGATTTGTACAGTGTTCCGTGCCGTGTGTGTTTGTATATTTTTGCATTTGTGTGTGTATTGTGTTTGTTTCCCGGGGAAATTTAAACACTCACGAGAAACACCGGCTGTTGTTATGCCTGCAGTGACGTAAAGTTACTCCGTTCTCCGCTTGTAATTATGCCGTTACAAGCTTCAAAGTTGTATTTATCATCTGAATTTCCCGAAACAAGTTTAATATTCTGAAAGACAAGACTTTGTTTATTTCAAATCAGATGAAAACAAACTGTAACGGACCCTGCCGTGTTATCTGATTACTATGCCTTACATTCATAACTTCAGCGGGAGGGAGGGGAAGCGGCGCTGTGGAAGAGCAGAGTGGCACGTAAGAGGCGAGCTGTCATCTTCCCTTTACAAGCTTCAAAAATGCCTGTAGCTAATGAGATTGAATATAACAATCAAAAATAACAAAATATACACAGCTAGATCAGATCGCGTTTTAGATGTGACTTTAGAGTAGAGGGGAATTATTGAAACGGGATTTGTACACGGCATCTGCCGCTGAGAAAATGTGGGGCAGGGCTGCTTCGTAGTATAGGCCTACCCCCCAGGAGGCAGCGGGAGGGTTAACTCAGCCTCTGAGAAGACGAGCGTGCAGTGCCTTTCACGCACCACCTTCGCTGTGTTTACCTTCAGAATCATTAGAAAGGCTAAAGAGCGACCGCAGGCTGATGTGTTTTAACCACACACACCTTTACACGCACACGACTTAAACGCAGACTTTTGTTCCTCCATGTTTCGTTGTTATTGTTTCACTGAGTGGACCCGCCCCTTTTTTTTCAAACGCTCCCTTTTTTTGGTCCATCTGCGGCGGTAAAAGTGTTTGTGCGCTGTGATGATTCGGCTGTACCTTTAGTAATGAATATTAAATGTTGTGAGGAAATCTTTCCACCAATAATTCCAATAAGTAATCCAAAATGTATTCACTTCAGGTTTACGAAAGTAACTGTAATCAGATTACTCGTTTTTCAAATGTAACGCGAGCTGAATACAGTTTGATTTTTATATTCTGATTACGTAACGCCGTTACATGTATTCCGTTATAACCCAACCCTGGACGGGGCAGTGATATCAGTGACAGTGACGCTTTCAAACACTCTGTAGTTTATTTATTTTTTAACCATTTGTTCTGTATTCACCTTTCAGGTGCAACTATGTGGCTTGTATCCTGGATTATATGTTTAAGTCATGGATGTTTAAAGTTCATATTTGTCTAATATTAGTTTACTTTTCATTAATGAAGTATGACGCTGCGCTGTCAGTACACTTGTCCCTGTTTGTGATTGGTCAATTGTTGCTAACCCCGCCCCTTTCACGTGAACGCGCTCTCAGCTGGAGAGAGAAACCCTGGCTTGATTTACCAAGTTGATAACCAGCGTCGTAGGACCGCTTAGCGAGATCTCGTTTGTTAGGGTTAGTTAAGGTAACTCACCGCGGTGAATTTAGTTTTAGGTTGGATATTCGACGGACATTCGCGGACCCGCCAGCAGCGTCAGTTTCCCCTGCTGCTGTGTGTATTACGACGGGGAGATCTTCTCCGCGAAACGAGGCTTTCACTTAGGGACCATCAACAAATGACTTTTCAATTACACAAGAACATTTTTCTTTTTAATAAATCGACAGCTTCCCGATTGAGTGAATGTGAAGCAAATCCACGCTAGAGCATGCATTTGTTGAACACACCTCTCTTTATTGCATTTTAATACTTTAAATATTTTATATTAATAATTTGATGGAAAAATGTGCTTATTTCTTCAATACCTTCCAGGTCATGTGACCGATTCACTCAAAATCAATGTTGGGTCAAAGAACTACACTGGCTGCATAGGACACACCTCTTTTTATTGCATTTTAATACTTTAAATATTTTATATTAATATTTTGATGGAAAAAATAGCTTATTTCTTCAATACCTTCCAGGTCATGTGACCGATTTACTCAAAATCAATGTTGGGTCAAAGAACTACACTGGCTGCATAGGACACACCTCTTTTTATTGTATTTTAACACTCTAAATATTTTATATTAATATTTTGATGGAAAAATGAGCCTATTTCTTCAATACCTTCCAGGTTATGTGACCGATTTACTCAAAATCAATGTTGGGTCAAAGAACTACACTGGCTGCATAGGACACACCTCTTTTTATTGCATTTTAATACTTTAAATATTTTATATTAATATTTTGATGGAAAAATGTGCTTATTTCTTCAATACCTTCCAGGTCATGTGACCGATTTACTCAAAATCAATGTTGGGTCAAAGAACTACACTGGCTGCATAGGACACACCTATTTTTATTGCATTTTAATACTTTAAATATTTTATATTAATAATTGTATGTGAAAATTAGCTTATTTCTTCAATAACTAATGACTCAAAATCACTTTATGAATTGAATACAAGTCTGTACACAATAGAAACAGCTCTTTATATCGGATAATATTACATCCTCTATTTAATATTAATATTTCTATTAAAAAAATCAGGTTTTTTTTCTAGAGCTTCCCTGTCATGTGACCCAGTGATTAATGATCAGAAAGTAATACAAACAAGGCTACACAGGACACATGTTTTACTAATCGTCATCATTGAGCACATTTCAAGTATTACTTGCACAAAGGACAATTCCAATATCCTGTCTCTGCCTTTTTAAAGTCTCTGCTGTCCATTGCCAGGCACTGGGCATGGTACCATCGTTCACAGTCATCACACTGAACCTGTTGAAGTGAAAGAAATAGTGTATTTATATATTTGTACCTTAGATTACCATTCAGTTGTCTTAATACTTAAGTGTTAATGAGGAATCAGCTGACACAATCACCTGCTCCTTAAAACCCACTGCCTGTGTTTTAACATGCTCTATTGTTTATTTTTTATTTTTTTATTTTTATTGTTTCTATCTTTTACATTTTTTTTATTTAAGTATTCCATTAATGTGTGTTGCATGTTTTAAATGTATTGTATTTAGTTGTTTAAAATTAATTATGTGTTTGAGGTTGACTTTTAAAATCTGTCCAGGGACTACAGATGAAAAATAGCCTCTTGGCTAAGTCTGGCAGTTACAGAAATGTTAATTAATGTGCACTGTCCCTGTTAAATAAATGAATACATAAATGTATACATGACAATTCCACATTTTCTTCACAACAGCTCACCCAGTCTGTGATGGGAGATCCAGATCCTGGAGGCCTTAAGGCAGCACACATAGCACAATAAGTGTGCTCATCAAAGACTGAAACAAGATAACAATACATGTATGTCAGCTTCTATATACACATACATATACATACATACATATATATATACATACAGACACCCATATATATATATACACATATTCATATTTATTTACCTGATGCCTCAAGGATTTCGAGAGCCAGTTCTCTCCTCTCCCGTTTCATGTATTTCTTCGAACACTCGAAATTCACATTCGGGATCAGAGGGAAGGACTCCATGACTGCCTTTGCCATCTAAACAAACAACACTTATGTTATGGAGGGTTTTTCTTCTTTATTGTATAGTAATACAGATACAGACAAAAACATGAGACACATTATAGAAGACATCCACCCTTGACTAGAATGCCTCCCAAAACCTTTGAGTATTGATATAGACCGGTCCTATTATTGGAATTTTGAGATATTTGGAAGCAAAGTTTTGTCAATTAAACTTTCTGTGTTCAAGTGAATACTACATTAGTATTAAATAACTGTTAATTTAAGTTCAGCAATGTTGTGTCATAATCCAATTGTTGTCAGTTGTGAAAAATACAATAAACAACAACATGATATCGTCAATATACTGTATATTGTCCATTGGCCAACCTGCCTGCTAAATATTATGGGGATCAGCATCGGCCTTTAAAAAACCTTTATCGGTCAACAACTACTTTTGACAGTTTTTTTAATCCGCCCTTGCATTCAAAAACTGTCTTTCACATTAAAAACTCTGCTTGTTAACTGGATGAAAACAGAATCTCTTCAGCTCACCTTCACAACAACGACACCACAGCTACATCCATCCGTTTGAAGTGGGTGGCCCATAACGCCTCCCTTCCACTTAACATCCACCCAGTCTGTTATGCTGTGGCGTGTCCTCCTCACCCTGAAGTACTCCCTGAGAAAGGATCATGTTAACACACTTTACATTTCTAATGATGTGGCTCCTAAAGATAATGTAAGAGAAATTCATACTGTTTGTATTCAGCATATGACCATTTATTTATATAAGAGGCAGCCACAGGTCAGCTATAGATATCACTGTCTGAACACAGACTGTATCACACTGTTTAAAATGCTTTCAATGCTGTTTGTGAGTATGAATATAACTAAATGTGACACATTTTTTACGTTTAAATATAGTTTTTACTTGAATTTTCAAATATCTATTGAATTTTGATTTACTGTATTCTTTTGGCAGCATGTTCGGAGTCATCAAGCTCTTTTATGCTTTGAGCTGGATCCACCAGCTCAAAGCATAAAAAAAACAAAAAAAGTAAAAGCACTTTTCATCAAAAAATATTGTTGGTTTCACTATGTAAGTCTTGTGCTTTAACAGAAATAATACAATGACAAAATAATTACAAACCAGCAACTTCCAGTGGTTGTTGTTGACAAGTACAAAGGACAGGACAGCTTCATAGTTGTCAAAGTTGACCTATAATGGCATCAAATAAAGGATTAAAACAAACTTGAAGGCTAAGGTAAAAATAACAACAACATTAGTCTGACAATGATGTTCTTGTGCCATTCATTTGTTGTGCTTAAAACAAGTGTTGGTATGGGAATTCAATAGTAAGTAGATTTATCAGGTGATTTAACTAATGAGTATAGTTTCAGAGAGGATAAAGTAAAATAATCTCAGCTAATTTCCTATTTAAGACCTTCACTCCATGTACCTAATGTGTGAGTGTGAGCCCACAAATCAAATCCACACCTACTTCCCCCTACAGCATCACCATGCACAAACACAACACACCACACACATAAACATACACAGACCACACACATTACCTTCGGTAAACTGTGAGATATTAGCTGAGTTCTGTCCCCGAACAAAATGACACTTGCTGTGTAGTGATTTAGCAAGTAAATTTTGTTCAGAACGGCGAATTTGTCGGCAGCAACATGAAACACGCCTTCAATTACCTGGCAAAAAAGATCATAACAATTTGCCAATTAATGCATATTCCCAGTTATACTGAACTTTCATTTCCTGCAACTTTGAGAATCTTGTGACTGACAAAAGTATCTAGACATTTTGGGGAGAAATCGTTAAATGCTAGATAAAGAAAATAACACAGTGTAGAGTGAAACTTCAGACACTTGAAACATGTAGTACCTCCCCTGTCAACCACTGGTGGGGTCGAAGTGAGCATAGCTCACAGTGGCGGATAAGCAAGATGCGTCCTTTCATCTGTGAGGGGAGCACTGCCACGACCACCTCTGTGTCCTTTTTTTTCCACAGCCAGGTCAACTGCAAGTTAGGATTGAGGGGAAATAGATGCAGTCTGTTTAATATGGACACTTGAGGAATCTTTTAACCCTCCGGTATCACTCTGGACATTTTTGTCCCGAATGACTTATTAGGGTAGTGCACTTGAATGACACCAGAGGGTTAACAATCTTGAATTTTTGGGTGAAGGCCTTGTTTTTGTATATGCACCATCAAAGCTACATGCACAAAATATAATTAAACTGTCCATGTTTATGCATTTAACCTCAGTCCCTTTTAGAGTTTTCACTAAATGACATTAAACAGGCTGCTCAGGAACAGAAACTGTAATTGCAGTTTAAAGTCTGATTTGGAAATCTAGTTTCTGTTCTAAGTTTGTAAGCTGTATTTACATTTTTCATCTTCATATTCTCCCCCTACAACATGCACCTAATCATCTTGGGTTATAATACTTCATGTCCTTTGTCCTTCACCTCACTCTTTACCAATTTAGTCCATGCTTTACTTTCTGACAATATTTACTTATTCCATTGTTACAATTAAAATGCTGGAGAACAATTTACACACTTTGAACATAGTAAGTCTTAGAGAAACTCACATTTCCCTGTGCATCTTTTTCCTGTTGGTCCACTTTTCTTTTCTTCACCTTTGTGGCAGGTGGGCTCTTGGGGTTGGGTAGTGCTTTTGGTGGATTGAAGTACTTGGACTTGGACTTGGAGTGACCAGCAGAACTTTCCCGCTTGTTCCACTGTTCCTCGTGGTCATCATCTGGCCTGCTAGGATGCCCAAAGTTTTTGTCCAGAATATGCATTGGCAGATTGTGTTGCTCAATGTGCTCTACGTATCTTCCTTGTATTGAGGCATACATTTTGGAGACAAACTCAGCTGGTCTCAGGTACTTTTTTTTTAAAAGGATGGAGTGTTTGACCAACCCAAACCAGAGCTCAACATGGCAGTTGGTATCCCTGGTTTTATGACTTCCATCTTTTTTTGAGGTACCTTTTCTATGTCGCGACAGATCCCCAAGCAACAAACCACTCCACAATGGGAAGATCCCCATGTAGTTTTTGAACAGTGCATCAATGACACCAGGACAGAGGTAGTGGTTTTTTACCTGAACAGCATCGTCAGAGAGAATGTCACACTCTGCTTGGTCCCGCCTGACTTGAAAAGCTTGTGTAAAAGGGGACTTTCCAATAATGCTATGAGCATTTGTTTCCATTTTGCTTTCCTCCTCTCCCATTACATGTCCACTTTCCTCCAGTTTCAAGTCCCGAGTTTGCAAAATGCACTTGTCGAGGTACATTTTGCTCTGTTTCACCGAATAAGTGTACTCCTCTGCATCAAAAAGCACACACATATGATAAAAAACATTAAGGGCTTCCTGCATACTTGTGCAGTTCAGGATGTACGCAAAACAGAATGTTGCATATTCCTGTGTGCCTCTGTCTACAGTTTTTTTCCCAAATGCTTGTGACACAGCCTTCATGATATGAGCAGAGCACAGATGCAGCACAGTGAAGTTAGGAATCAGTTCAGTTTGTCCAGACACTATCTCAAATGCTCTGTCAAGGTACACTGACATATTTTCCCTGTTAAAAGACAGAAGCACACTGTTTATCAGAGCCCAACTATAATCTGTCTCAACCTGTGCTATCTTTCTTTTTGTTATGTAAGACAACTTTCTTTTAAATTCCATGAGCCAATGGGAAATAGATGGAATGGAATGGCTGTTGGTGATCAGTTCTGTGACAGGCAAGGGAGGCTTATCCTTACCCATTCCGGGCAAAACCAAAGCATAATACAAGACCCGCTTATTTTGATCAGGAATTTTCTGTATCACGCTGCCTGTGGCATCAAGGTAGAGAGTCGTAGGTATTGGCTTTTTCAAGTGCTCAGTCAATATCTTTATTCCAGCATCTGTGTATAAATGTACAGCAAACGGATCAATTTGTAGGTGCTGAAGATAGCCTTTTGATGATGCATGACTGCTGCTCTCTTTGATTATTTTTTGAGTCAACATGAGCATCATGTCATCGTGGAGCCTTGCACTTTTCTTCACTTCAGAGGATATTTTCTTTAACACGTCTTTGGTGAGGCTTCTGCTTATGTTACCAGCCATTATTTCCTCTACTGGTGTCTGTCTTAACATAGTGTAATAATAATTACTGACACCACTGGTTAAGGCTTTGGAAATTGTTCCTCTTCTTGTGTATTTTGCTGGTCTAAATCGCCTTTGATTTTTATGGTGTATAACTTCACCAATGCGCATGACTTTAAAAATAATTTTTTTATCCGTTGATTTTGGCCTGTTCTTTTTTGAGAAACTGTAGACAGCGTTGCATCCATTAAATGTGCATTTTGCAGAGGCACAGAAAAATGGCGAATTCTTTTTACGGCTATCATTTGTCTTAACATGCTGGTATTTGAAAGCAAGTGTGCAGCATGGATTATTTTTCAAAAATTCTTGATATAATGTATCAGTCCAGGGGGGACGGAGTTTTTTTTTGCCATGTTTAGGTTTAATTTTGTTCCATTGTTTTCTTGTCATGGCAATTTTGAACTTTTTTGGCCCTGCTTTGCACTTTCTGTTCATTGTTGTTGTCATTTCGGTGGCTGTCTCTGTACTTTGTTGGTCTGACTCTTCTGTGTCTATCTCAGACTGTGGCTGTACGTTACTTATTTCCCTGTCATCCTGACTTGTGTCCTCGTCTTCCTCACCCGTAGGTGCGCTGTAACACTGTTTTTCTTCATCATTCTTATCTTCATCTTTCCCCACAGGCTCTGTCCCTGTTTTTCGTTTGTTCCTTTTTCGTTTTTTATCCTTTTCTGGCCCTTTCTTGTCCTTGCCTGTTTGTCCCTTTCCGTTCATTGTTGTTGTCATTTCGGTGGCTGTCTCTGTACTTTGTTGGTCTGACTCTTCTGTGTCTATCTCAGACTGTGGCTGTGTGTTACTTATTTCCCTGTCATCCTGACTTGTGTCCTCGTCTTCCTCACCCGTAGGTGCGCTGTAACACTGTTTCTTGATACTGTGCTGTCCATCTCTCCCTCTTTCACTGACATATTTTCCTAAATACAAACATTACAAAAGTACAAAATCTCATTTAATTACTGTATCTCTTATCGTAAGACTACAATGCAACTTTAAGCAATCTGCCATCCTTGGGTCAATTACAGTAAATTCTGTTAACATCCTACTGTGATGCAGTATTTAATTAAATAAGCACATTAACCCTTATGCCTCCCTAAGGAAATGTATTATCCATGCCACTGTTTAATTTTGCGAGCATTCTGATTGTGTTAAGAATATGGCACGACATTTGGTAAAGATGTGTTTTTTTGGAAACATGTTCTTAATAAGTGTATGTGTAATCAAAATAGTGACTTTCAAATCCCTAGCGACAAAAATAAAAATGAATGAACATTTGATAATTATGATCAGCACTGAATTTGGTTAAAAATATGTAAGTAATTGAAAGTGGAACAAAAATATTAACATAGCCTATAATATCTTTATTACAGTATTTTTAGATGAGGAAATTTTTGTCGTTAGTGTTTTCAAAGTAACGTTTTTAAAAAGGGATTCACAAGGGTTAAGCTTCAACTTAAAAGCCTCTGGGGCAGAGTCCTGCATGGGTCCAGTTTTGCAAATCTGCACCCACCCGAACCCTCGCAGCTCAGTAGCTACCGCGAACCGACCGTTACATGCAATTATCTTCAAGTCAAATCTGGACCCGACCTGTTGATATAACCTGTTGACCCACGACCCGACCCGTTGTGAATTTGGGGGGGGGGGGGGCTAGTGGAGTACTTCGTGACCACAGAGCGTGAACGTTGTGATCAGCTGTTTTAGAGCAGTTCTCCAGTGAAGGGGGGGAGTCTCCCTCCGCAGCCGGTTGGCGTAGTTTTGGCACAATTCCGTTGTACAGACCGACGTTAACAGCAGCCCGGTCTGTGCACACGGAGACCGACTCTGTCGTCCGGTGATCTAACCGCCTTCTGGAAAAGCTTCACAAGTACGTCGGTACGCAAATGCGCTTTGTGACACAAGTGACCGTACGCAATTCAGATTGTTGCCGCGCATGCGTACCTGCGTACCAGTTATGTGCACCCCTGGATATAGGCCTACATGTATGTTTTGCCCGTTACACAACTATTTTGCGGGTTATCCGCCGGGTATCCGAGGCAGGACTCTGCTCTGGGGCTCATCAAAGTTATTTTTTAACAGTACCTGCTTGAAGCACCTCAGTCCGGACTCCACGTCGGTCTTCACCCCAGATGACCCTCAACCACTTAAGATGCTCTTTCTTATTACTTTTAAACACTGTAAGTGTAACTGAGGACCACTGTTCAGTTGTAACATTAACTTCACTAAAACCATGAGAAATTAAAGACCTGGTGATGAAATCTCTACCTCCTGCTTGTTGCCAGAGGTCTAAAGCTTTCTTTGTTTTGCCTTTTTTGAAGCGCACCATTTTTAGATCAAACAATGTGATCTGGTTTCTAAAATGTCTTCTTCTTCTTCTTCTTCTTCTTCTTCTTCTTCTTCTTCTTCTTCTTCTTCTTCTTCTTCTTCTTCTTCTTCTTCTTCTTCTTCTTCTTCTTCTTCTTCTTCTTCTTCTTCTTCTTCTTCTTCTTCTTCTTCTTCTTCTTCTTCTTCTTCTTCTTCTTCTTCTTCAAATGCAATACAAAGAGGTGTGTCCTATGCAGCCAGTGTAGTTCTTCGACCCAACATTGATTTTGAGTAAATCGGTCATATGACCTGGAAGCTATTGAAGAAATAAGCTAATTTTTCCATCAAAATATTAATATAAAATATTTAAAGTATTAAAATGCAATAAAAAGAGGTGTGTCCTATGCAGCCAGTGTAGTCCTTTGACCCAACATTGATTTTGAGTGATTAGGTCACATGACCTGGAAGCTATTGAAGAAATAGGCACATTTTTCCATCAAAATATTAGTATAAAATATTTAAAGTATTAAAATGCAATAAAAAGAGGTGTGTCCTATGCAACCAGTGTAGTTCTTTGACCCAACATTGATTTTGAGTGATTAGGTCACATGACCTGGAAGCTATTGAAGAAATAAGCACATTTTTCCATCAAAATATTAATATAAAATATTTAAAGTATTAAAATGCAATAAAAATAGGTGTGTCCTATGCAACCAGTGTAGTTCTTTGACCCAACATTGATTTTGAGTAAATCGGTCACATGACCTGGAAGGTATTGAAGAAATAGGCTCATTTTTCCATCAAAATATTAATATAAAAATATTTAGAGTGTTAAAATACAATAAAAAGAGGTGTGTCCTATGCAGCCAGTGTAGTTCTTCGACCCAACATTGATTTTGAGTAAATCGGTCATATGACCTGGAAGGTATTGAAGAAATAAGCTAATTTTTCCATCAAAATATTAATATAAAAATATTTAAAGTATTAAAATGCAATAAAAAGAGGTGTGTCCTATGCAGCCAGTGTAGTTATTTGACCAAACATTGATTTTGAGTAAATCGGTCACATGACCTGGAAGGTATTGAAGAAATAGGCACATTTTTCCATCAAAATATTAATATAAAATATTTAAAGTATTAAAATGCAATAAAAAGAGGTGTGTCCTATGCAGCCAGTGTAGTCCTTTGACCCAACATTGATTTTGAGTGATTAGGTCACATGACCTGGAAGCTATTGAAGAAATAGGCACATTTTTCCATCAAAATATTAATATAAAATATTTAAAGTATTAAAATGCAATAAAAAGAGGTGTGTCCTATGCAACCAGTGTAGTTCTTTGACCCAACATTGATTTTGAGTAAATCGGTCACATGACCTGGAAGGTATTGAAGAAATAAGCTAATTTTTCCATCAAAATATTAATACAAAAATATTTAAAGTATTAAAATGCAATAAAAAGAGGTGTGTCCTATGCAGCCAGTGTAGTTCTTTGACCCAACATTGATTTTGAGTAAATCGGTCACATGACCTGGAAGGTATTGAAGAAATAGGCTCATTTTTCCATCAAAATATTAATATAAAAATATTTAGAGTGTTAAAATACAATAAAAAGAGGTGTGTCCTATGCAGCCAGTGTAGTTCTTTGACCCAACATTGATTTTGAGTAAATCGGTCACATGACCTGGAAGGTATTGAAGAAATAAGCTCATTTTTCCATCAAAATATTAATATAAAAATATTTAAAGTATTACAATGCAATACAAAGAGGTGTGTCCTATGCAGCCAGTGTAGTTCTTTGACCCAACATTGATTTTGAGTAAATCGGTCACATGACCTGGAAGGTATTGAAGAAATAAGCAAATGTTTCCATCAAAATATTAATATAAAAATATTTAAAGTATTAAAATGCAATAAAAAGAGGTGTGTCCTATGCAACCGGTGTAGTCCTTTGACCCAACATTGATTTTGAGTGATTAGGTCACATGACCTGGAAGGTATTGAAGAAATAAGCACATTTTTCCATCAAAATATTAATATAAAAATATTTAAAGTATTAAAATGCAATAAAAAGAGGTGTGTCCTATGCAGCCAGTGTAGTTCTTTGACCCAACATTGATTTTGAGTAAATCGGTCATATGACCTGGAAGGTATTGAAGAAATAGGCTTATTTTTCCATCAAAATATTAATATAAAATATTTAGAGTGTTAAAATACAATAAAAAGAGGTGTGTCCTATGCAGCCAGTGTAGTTCTTTGACCCAACATTGATTTTGAGTAAATCGGTCACATGACCTGGAAGGTATTGAAGAAATAGGCTCATTTTTCCATCAAAATATTAATACAAAATATTTAAAGTATTAAAATGCAAAAAAAAGAGGTGTGTCCTATGCAGCCGGTTTAGTCCTTTTACCCAACATTGATTTTGAGTTATTAGGTCACATGACCTGGAAGGTATTGAAGAAATAAGCAAATGTTTCCATCAAACATATTAATAAAACGTATTTAAAGTATTAAAATGCAATAAAAAGAGGTGTGTCCTATGCAGCCGGTTTAGTCCTTTGACCCAACATTGATTTTGAGTTATTAGGTCACATGACCTGGAAGGTATTGAAGAAATAAGCAAATGTTTCCATCAAACATATTAATAAAACGTATTTAAAGTATTAAAATGCAATAAAAAGAGGTGTATTCAATAAATGTATGCTCTAGAGTCAATTTGCTTCACATTCACACGATCGAGAAGCTGTCGATTTATTAAAAATAACAGTTTTCTTGTCTAATTGTAAAAGTCATTTGTTGATGGTCCCTAAGTGAAAGCCTCGTTTCGCGGAGAAGATCTCCCCGTTAAACTGACGCTGCTGGCGGGTCCGGGAAACTGACGCTGCTGGCTGGTCCGCGAATGTCCGTCGAATATACAACCTAAAACTAAATTCACCGCGGTAGATAACTCAAACATATCCAGGGTATGTTGAACTGGCTTCGTAGAAGAGGGCACAGGTAGCAGCGCTAATGTCAAAGGCACAAACATTATATTTGTATTTTACCAGGATGCGACAAAAGTATTTGGGAAGGCTTATAGTCTACACTACAGTACCCGCCGCCCCTGCAGACAGAGGACAGGTGAAGGGTGCGTTCACACCTGCCTTGTATAGTCCGGTTGAATCGAACCCTGGTGCGGTTCATTTGGGTCGGTGTGAACAGAATCCGAGACCTCTTAAGTGAACTAAACAACCGGACTCTGGTCCGCTAAAATAGGTGGTCTCGGAGCGCTTGCTTGCGAACTCTGGAGCGGTTCATTGCTGGTGTGAACGCAGTCAACTACATAAAAGTAAGAACACCTGTCGTCGGTGAAACGCCCTCCTTACTGCAGAACGTCTCTCATGTGTTATAATGTTTTTTAACTGACGTTGTCTGATGTGATTATACAGACACTAGCGGCCGCGCGGCCGCTAGTGTCTGTTGATCTCCAGATTAACAGCAGCATGAGAATAACCTGCCGAAAGTGCCGATGCTCCATGGCGGAGGCTCCGGTAGAAATGGGCGGGATTTGCGTTTTTACCATGGTTTTTACCCCCTTAATGTCTGACCAATGGTTGAACAGCATTTCCGTGCACATGATTTGTGTTTAAAGTTTATAGTCCGTTTGAGTTTTGCCCGTGTGAACGCAAACCGAACCTTCTGAAAAATGAAACAATGTAACAAACTGTGGTCTGGTGCGCACCAGAACACGGACTATTAGGTGTGAATGCACCTTAGACAAACAATAACGAATATTACAATATATCATTAATACAATAGAATGCAATCCCAATAAAAAAAAGGTCTTGGCCCGTTTATCTTTCAACAGTTTAGCTTAAAGGGCTGAGAGTGCACTTTAGATAAGTATAAGGTTAGCAACATGCTCTAAGCCTTGCTGTGCCCCTAACTTGGCCGACAAGTCCAGCAACTAATTTATAAATGTTACATGCCGCCAAAGAAAAGAAACAGGAAACGTGAGTAATGACATGTCTTACAACGAATAAACGAACAGCAGATGTTTGAACAGTAGAGCCAGAACAATAGTGAAAAGCAGGAGTGACAAAAAGACTGATGATTTTATTCTTTACAAATAGCCTAAGTTTTGTTATGGGGTCAATTGGTATTGAGTGTTGTAATCATGCCAGTTTTTTAGGTCTAGCAGTCATGTTTTCAAAATAAAAACTAATGTAGCTTAGTTCATTATTTAGCTTTATTGTGGTCAGTTATTTGGTTTGGATTCTCACTTTTCTCATAAAGGCCTATCTACAGTAACAGGTGTATAGTTTTTGTATTTACCTTTTCTTTCTTCTTTGTTCATAATAAAGGTTTTTTAAATAATTTGATTTAAAACTAATAAATTAAACTTTGTGAACAAATTCCGGTTGTGGAGGACGGTTCTTATCAGTCACTTTATA